TGTCAGGTTCAGACAGGAGTCCACACTACTGCATCAGTCAGCAGCCACCTAACTAAACAATATCATAAGTTAAACCATTGTCTCAATTAAGACAAAGTAAATGGTAGGTAAAATGCAGAATTCAGGTTTTTCTCACCTGATATTCATCTGGGGTCTTCAATTCATCTGGTCTGGTCCAATCTGTCTTGTCAGGTTCAGACAGGAGTCCTCACTACTGCATCAGTCAGCAGCCACCTATATGTTACACACTTGTCTCAAATAACACCAAGTAAATGTACTAGGTAAAATGTAGAATTCAGATTTTTCTCACCTGATATTCCTCTTGGGTCTTCAAATCATCTGGTCTGGTCCAATCCAGTCTTGTCAGGTTCAGACAGGAGTCTTCACTACTGCATCAGTCAGCAGCCACCTAACTATACAACAATATAATTGTTACACACTTGTCTCAAATAATACCAAGTAAATGGTATGTAAAATGCATAACTCAGATTTTTCTCACCTGATATTCATCTTGGGTCTTCAATTCAACTGGTCTGGTCCAATACAGTCTTGTCAGGTTCAGACAGGAATCATCACTACTGCATCAGTCAGCAGCCACCTAACTATACAATATATATATGTTACACAATTGTCTGAAATAACACCAAATACTTGTAGGTAAAATGCAGAGTTCAGGTTTTTCTCACCTGATATTCAACTGGGGTCTTCAATTCATCTGGTTTGATCCAATCTTCTCTTGTCAGGTTCAGACAGGAATCCTCACTACAGCATCAGTCAGCAGCCACCTAACTAAACAATATTATAAGTTATACACTTGTCTCAAATAACACAAAGTAAATGTCTACAAGGTAGTTGCAAAGTTCAGAATTTTCTCACCTTAGATATTCATCATTCTGTGTTCTTCATATCATCTGGACTGGTCCAATCTTCTCTTGTCAGGTTCAGACAGGAATCCTCACTACTGCATCAGTCAGCAGCCACCTAACTATACAATGTCATAAGTTAACCTATTGTCTCAATTAACACAAAGTAAATAGTAGGTAAAATGCACAGTTCAGATTTTTCTCACCTGGCCTTATAGTCTGTATCCAATCACATAGTGCCTCTGTCATCACAAGTCTCATCTCATCAGGAAAGAAACACTTGCACATTTAGCTGGCCCTCAGGACACAGAAAACTACATGGTTCTATAAAAAGAAGAAATATTATATACAACGTGTTAAAAACAACAAATATGGTTACACACTCATGTTAACCATCACCTTTCTGATATAAGATTTTAATAAATCAATCATATTTGTATTGGTCGGGAAAATTTAAAACACAATCACTAAGTTTAAATACAGAACTAGGCACATAGATATAATCTCAGTGTTTAAAGTTGAATGCCCATTAAGAAATATGTGGAAATTTTTAATTACTGCATACTCGTCATAATGTTACAATACTTTGTATTTGAACACTTGTGTACTTATACTTTGTCATGTACTTAAACAATAAATTTGAATTAAAAAAATTGTTTAAAAAATAGTATAAACTCACAACGTTTTATAAGTGACAAATGCGAGACACACATACCACACATTGAAAATATTCAGGAAAACACGGCAAAATTGACTCTGTAAAAGCTCTAAATCAGGAATGGTCGGTAGAAAGCTCCATATAACAACACCATTTTTTACGTATTATAACTTGCACAATATGACATGTTCTTACTAGTTGCTAAGGGAATAATGTCTGTCAAATAATTTGCTCCTTACCTGTACCATGTGCTCGCCGGACCCCACAATTCTTCCCAACTGTCTCGTCTTTTCCAGGCCAGGAAATCCGTATTTTCTCCTCAAAAACACGACAAAAACAGCACCAAATCTACCGCAAACTTCTCATCATCATAGCGCACAGTTTATATAGATATTTTGCCGCCCGAAACTCGAAATAAGTACCCGAAAATGCACAACTCTGAACATTCGCCATTTTGAAGGAACCTAAGCCAAACGTGCTATTTCTTCCCAGGTGGTCAAAATAGTCTAATTACGAAGACAATCCAGTCACTAGCCTCCACCAGGCTTCGTGAGGAGGTTGGAAAGAGTAGAAATCGACAAATAAAGAGATAACATGTCGAGGGTCTGTTAGAAAGTAATGTGAGTTTGCGTGTGGCAAACTGTACTCTCCAGCGGACCAACTCCCTCGGCATGATATCTCTCTATTTGTCACTTTCTACTCTTTTCAGCCTCCTTCCGAAGCCTGGTAGAGGCTAAATCAGTTACCACAATCATCTAACGTGTCAGTGATGACCCCTAGCGGTTTTTTTGTCCCTGGTGGATGCGGGTTTTCCTGCATGCAATGTTAACTTTGGCCGTTTGGTGGAGCCTTTCTTGTCGAAATAATCAGGTCTGGAAATGTGTCTACGTGTATTCTACTATTATTACGCGCATTAATTTTCGCCTGATTTTGGAAAAAAAAAAAAGAAATTTTGTTGCCTTCTGACAGTGGTCAACATGCCGAAAATGCGCAAAGATGTCTGCTGCCATGCCGGAACGTGGATGGCAGATAACTATGAAGAGAGGAGACAAGAAAAGGCTCTGATTTAATGTTGTTGTTTTTTTACTTTGATGCAGTGATATGTGATGCTGACTGTGTATATGTGATGTTCTCCCTGAATCAAAACCATTTGTACAATGATGGAGTCAAAATTCTAAAATGTAGGAACCTTGTTTTTTTCGGCCCGCCTTGTTTTTTTTCGCCCGCTCGCGTTAGATTTGGAGTCTGCGGAGGATGTCATCCATAAAATTTACTTGCTGTGGCCTTATGTATCATGTATTGTTGCTATAGCGGTTACCCCCTGGTTGGCTAAAAGCAAACAAAGATCACATAATTATATATAGCTCAAATAACATAAGCTGATTGTTGCGACTTATTCATGCATACTTAAGTAAATGACATTTAAGTGTTTGTTACTAAGGGTAGCACATGGTGATTTCCCAAACAATTACCGGCAATTATAACTTTCAAGTGTTGTCTTTGGTCTAAAATAACTGTTATACCACTTACGTTTCTTATGCAAACACTCAAATTTGTTTATACCGCCCTGGTTAGGGCTACTCTATGGTGCTGAGTGACCGGCTGGGGAGAACTCCTATACTTGGAAAAGTACGCCTTTCTCCGGAGGTGGGTCAACTAGACTTTGTTTCCAAGCTGACTAGATTGATGTTAGGTCTGTCTTGTGTTGACTTAAGCCTCGGTCACAACCCGCCGTACGTGCTTCTGCGTGCAAAAACTTGGGCAAACGTAGGGAATCCGTGCGCGGTGAGTACCGCCTCCGTACGGAATCCTACGGATTTGGGAGCACGCAGACACGCCGTAAAACTTTAAGTGCATGTAAAACTTTTCTGCGTGCGGTCTACGGATTCACCACCCGTGCGTGCGAGTAAGGGCGACGCGCGTGCCCCGTACGTACCGTACGAAAGACGCACATGTTAGTACGGCCTCCTTACGGTAAAGTTGCAATCGCACAGAGATCGTACGTTGTAAGCACGTACAACTCACTTACCACTTGCGCAACGTACGATGCACGCAACCGCTCACGGCCAGACGTGGCGTGCAGACCACACTCTTATACCATGCGAAATCGTGCGAGTGACGTGCGAGTGACGTGCGTCGATGCCACTCCTTCCCCACGTTTTCAGAAAAAACGTAGCAGACGTAGCCTCCCAAAAAACGTACGGACAAAAAGCACGTACGACGGGTTGTGACCGCAGCTTAAGCGAACAGGGTCTAGAGTTCTGCACTACAGAAACGTACAAAACGCTGCTAAAATTCGAGCAAAACAAGCTGAAGATAATATCTACTTGGAGATAGAATTCGACATGCATAATATAGGCCAATTCCTATACATGGCAAAAGGGTGAAGGACGATTTAGGGCTAATAACTACTTTCTTGCTTGATTAATTGGTGAATTGCAGGCCATTAAAAGTATCTAGTTGTTTACTGACATTTCCGATGCAGTGCTTTAGATAGTCGATCACATTGTTTTCAGCCTCAAAATCCTATTCTAAATACTGATCCTTAACCGTTCCCGTAATTTCTAAGGTATTGTAGGTAAACATTAGCCTCCACCAGGCCTTTCTACGGGAATACGGATCGCAGAATTCGGCAAAAAAAAAGAGAGTAAAAGGGAGTCCGGCCGCGGGGAGGTAGTTTCTTTCCCTCCGAAGGCCTGTCAAACCTACAAGGCGGCCAAACTCCCCTGACAACTATTCTCCTATATATAGCCAGCGTAGCTAGTCTGGTAGAGACTAGGTAAACATTATACCATGTATATGGGTAACATGTAGAGTTTACGCAATACAATGATATGGCATGTATGATCATGTATCCTAAAAAACATATAGGTCAAACAAATTGTCTCTATTAGGCCACATCGTCTTAATTCTATGGATGACATCCACGCGCGCATTAATTTCGCCTATTAAAAAAGATCACTTCCTCCGAGGCTCTGGCCTGGCTCTAGGCCTGGGTAGTCCATGGTAGTTAGCGACAATACGTAGCCGGTGGTAGAGGATGGCACCCAGGCTGCCGAAGCTCCACGACTCAAGAACTCAGTACATTACGTACAGTGCCGATTCATAAATTCCGCAAAAAGCCAGAATGTACCGGCTTGTCGTATACGTTGCTAAGTACTGCCACAAATTCACAATACCAGCTTTGTATTCCTCTGGTTTAGTAGCATTTTTATTTTTGGCCGGATTTTTTTTTATTCGCCCGCGCGCACTAGTTTGGGGGTCTTCAGAGGATGTCATCCATAAAATTAAATCGGTGTGGCCTTACATCATCTGCACTCCACGTAACACGTGCTCAATTTCCCAAACAATGACAGGTAATTATGTTTTTGAAGTGTCATGTTTGTTCCAAAAGAATATTTATGGCATAATATCCTTAAATATTTTAGATAAGAATGGATATAAATTCTTGCCAAGCCCTCAGTCGGTATTTTGTCCGTACTGCTTCAGAAGAACTGACGCAAACCAGGAGAATGAAGTTCGGCTTGGCGTTTTTGGTTCTCGGGGTTTTGGCCCTGTCTGGTGCCGGTACAGCACTGAAAATCGGGGCTTTCAACATTCAGACCTTCGGCAGGAGTAAGATGTCCAAGCCTGAAGTCGTGGAAATCCTGCTACAGGTTAGTCTATAGCTACTTCTTTTCTTTCTTTTTTCTTTTCTGGGAATCTATGGTGGCTTAATTCCCTAGCCTCTACCAGGCTTGGGGAGGCAGCTGGAAAGAGTAATTGGGGTGCGGCGAATTGTTCTCTCAACGGACAAACTCCCTTGGCATGCTTATCCCTCTATTTGGCCGATTTCTACTCTTTCCAGCCGCCTCCCCAAGCCTGGTGTGTGTGTGTGTGTGTGTGTGTGTGTGTGTGTGTGTGTGTGTGTGTGTGTGTGTGTGTGTGTGTGTGTGTGTGTGTGTGTGAGACAGAGAGAGAAAAGGAAGACAAAGAAAGAAAGATAGGGGTAGTCAGACAACGGACAAAGAGATAGAGATAGAGACACATTTAGAAGACACTATATGTAATTTTTCTATGACTATGGTCTATGTGTATTCCTAACCCTTCTCACAGATTGCAGAGCGGTATGACATCTTACTGATCCAAGAGATTCGGGACAGCACGTTTACCGCCATCTACAGCTTTCTGGACCAGCTCAATGCGTAAGTTCCCCCTGTTTTATTTGGACACATCTGATTTTATTTCTTTGTACTGAATATTGTACACTTTTGTGTCATGACCTAAGGCCCAAGGAATTTTTTAAATTTTTATGGATGACATCAGCGCGCGCAATAATTTTCGCCTGGTTTCGGAAAAAAACAAGAAATTTTGTTGCCTTCTGACAGTGGTCACCATGCCGAAAATGGGCAAAGATGTTTGTTGCCATGCTGGAAGGTGGATGGCAGATAACTATGAAGAGAGAAGACAAAAAAGGCTCCGATTTAATGTGTTGTTTCTTACTTTGATGCAGTGATATGTGATGCTGGCTGTGTATACGTGATGTTCCCACTGAATCAAAACCATTTGTACAATGATTGAGTCAACATTTTAAAATGTAGGAACCTTGTTTTTTTTCGACCCGCCTTGTTTTTTTCGCCCGCTCGCATTAGATTTGGAGTCTGTGGAGGATGTCATCCATAAAATTTACTTGCTGTGGCCTAATGTAACTCTGGGCCCTCTTGTAAATCATTTTTACCAAGTAAATGAACAGGCCAGTCGTCTTGTGATGAAATAAAAAAATAAATAAGCCCAGAAGGTTTCAGAAGTTGTGAGTTTTGAAACCAAACATTCAAACAGGTATAGAATAAGAAAAACTGTCTATTGTACTTTGAACCACAGCCGCCGTGGGAACGATTACTCCATGTTGTTGAGTGACCGTCTGGGGAGGTCTTCCTACTACATGGAACAGTACGCCATTCTGTACAGGTGGGTACAGAGCATAGGACAGAGATTGAGCCATGTTGTGTGTGTGTGTGTGTGTGTGTGTATAGTATGTAGTTAAGCCTTGCCATGTTGTAATGTTAGTAGTATGTACTATCATGAAAGTTAATCTGTGTTGGTAGTTGCATGGTTAAAGTTAAAACTTTTGGTCCAACACAAAAAATTCTCTCGAGCTTTCGACCAGTCACTCTGGTCTTTCTCAGTAGACTGACCCAGTGAAGCTTGTCACGTGGCTTCTTTGAAGTGTGACGTCAACACTGGGTCAAAGGTATCTTGTAGACGATGTCGGCCCCCGTCGCGGTTCGTTAGTAGTATGTAGTTAAGCCTCATCACGTTGTAGTAGTATATGTGTATAACGACTCCAGGAAGATCAGTATGTATGGAAACTCAGTCTGTACAAACTAATGAAGATCGGTTTAAGGAAAAAATAATAAACAAAGATTGAGCAAGACCACACAGCGTGTTAGATAACTATCAAACCTTCTTGGAATGGGGCCGAAAAATCTTGAACCTGCGGCCGAAACGCCCTTGAATCGGGGCTGAAAAGGCATGACCGCAAAGCCCTGGGCTTGGGGTCGAAACGTCTGGGACCTGGGGACGAAACATCCCGGATCTAGGACCGAAACGTCCTAATCTGCAGGAGGACGAACTGTCCAGGTGTGGAAACTGTTCAGAGGCCAAGCTGTCCGACGTTCACTGCGTCAATTTGTACCAAATCAGATTGTAAAATTCGTTATTCAATCGTGTATGTGGAAGTTTGCCCAGGTCATTTAACTCTCTCTCTCTGTTGCCTAACACTGTAACCAATAGAGAATAGACTACTGGTAGCTAAACAGCTACTTCAGTGTGCCGATGTTACAACCGTGTGTATCAAGATCAACCGTAGAATGTTTTAACCAAATGTTTTTGCAAATCTTTATTGTTTCCCCTCTAAAGGAACGACCGTGAGCTGACTCCTGTGGGAGACTACCACTATGGAGACCCTGGAGACATCTTCCACAGGGAACCTTACGTCATCCGCTTCCTGTCAGGAACTACCTGTAAGTTTATCATCACTGTGTTTTCAGTTCGGTTGTAGGACCGTAAAAATCCGCTAGAGGGCTCAAAATTAAGCATGTTCTCTGTTGTGTTGACACTAAGCAACATACTAAATGTCACGAGGATCTGTTAACAATTTGTCAAGTTATGCTGTTAGCAAAATGTAAGGGACATAGAAAAATGTTGTTGTTTTTTATTGTCCAAACAGTACCCGTGCAGCCGCAGCCTTTATACGGCTGGATTGATGCAGGGTATCACATAATAATCAATTCAAATCACAACAATTACAACAATCAAATAATACACATGATACACATATTTGTTCCACAATTATTTTTTGTGGAACTGTCGCAAGGGTCTGTGCGGCTGACATTCGGCACCACTAGGTGACCTCAATACGACTTTCCCCAACCGAAGTTAGGTACCCATTCACACCTGGGTGGAGTGAGGGAAGTTGTGTTAAATGCCTTTCCCAAGTCGAACGCTCTACCACTACGTCATCCGACGCCACATCTAAGTAAGAGACATAGGGGACCCCCATTTCAACACCAAGGACATTGCCCGTGAACGCGCCGCCGCCGTACTCCGGCCGCAGTTGAGCGCTCTCGGCAGGCTCTGGCCGGCGCGAGTCGCGGTGCAAAGCACGGGCGTGAATTACGGATCCCCCATTTCAGCACCAAGGACATTGCCCGTGAATTCATCGCCACCGTACTCCGGCCACACTTGAACGCTCTCGGGGTGGCGTTGGGCGAGGTGCAAAGCACGGGCATGAATTACGGATCCCCCATTTCAGCACCAAGGACATCGCCTGCGGTCACAACGCCGTAACTTCGGCCGCAGCTGAGCGCTCTCCGGGCGGCGTGGGAACGCCTGCCAAGGTCCGTTAGGGATTAGGGACCCCCCATTTCAGCACCAAGGACATCGCCACCGCACGCCGCCGCCACCACAACCGCACTCCGTCTGCCCGCACTTGAGCGCTCTCGGCAGGCTCTGGCCGGTGCGAGTCGCGGTGCAAAGCACGGGCGTGAATTACGGATCCCCCATTTCAGCACCAAGGATATCGCCCGTGAACGGACCGCTACCGTACTCCTTCCGCACTTGAAGTTGAACGCTCTCGGGGTGGCGTTGGGCGAGGTGCAAAGCACGGGCGTGAATTACAGACCCCCATTTCAGCACCAAGGACATCGCCACCGCACTCCCTCGCCACCGCACGTCGCCGCCACCGCACTCCGTCCGCACTTGAGCGCTCTCGGCAGGCTCTGGCCGGCGCGAGTCGCGGTGCAAAGCACGGGCATGTATTACGGAATCCTCCGTTTCAGCACCAAGGACATCGCGTAGGGACTAGGGACATCGCCTGCGGATGCACCGCCACGGTACTCCGTCCGCAGCTGAGCGTAGGGACATCGAGCGTAGGGACTAGGGACATCGCCTGCGGACGCACCGCCACGGTACTCCGTCCGCAGCTCCGTCTCACCTTACCTGTGTTTTCTGTTTCTCTCTAGCCGTCCAAGACTTCGTGTTGGTCCCCCTACACGCCGACCCTGAGGACGCAGTGGTGGAAAACAATCAGCTGTACAACGTCTACCTGGACGCCGTGGACCGCTGGGGAGACCAGGACGTCCTGATCTTCGGAGACCTCAACGCCGACTGCAGCTACGTGGGCAGCGCTGATTGGTCGAGCATTCGAATCTGGACGGACAACCGATTCGAATGGCTGATCGGGAACGAGGCTGACACGACCGTCAAGGGCACACACTGTGCTTATGATCGGTACGCATGCGCTCGGGGTAGCAAGGGCAGCTTTTTTTAGCCGCTTCCTTCTCCAAATGTCCAAATAGAAAGTTTTTTTTCTTTCTAGCTGACCCCCTCAAGCAGGAAATGCTTTTGTAAAAACGATTAATTTAGCGTAAGTTCAATAAGCTTACGCAAAAATGATCATCTGATAAAAACTATTTTTTTAACGGAGTGGTTCAATGCAAGGCCTATATACGTCCACTTCTCGGCATCGAACTAGAAATATGAAAGAAACATGGCTATGTCAAGAAGTGGCGGTGAACGTTTGATTTGAAAGCCTGTAGATTGTAGGTTGGTGGGAAACACTTGTCAGGGAGGGAATTCCAAAGCTTGGCCGTACGGGGAAAGAAACTGTCACTGTAAAAAGATTTCGAACAAGGAATTTGGACGGTTACATATGCAGGAATAACGAATATAACTTGTGAATTTGTGTTATTTTTTTTTCAGACTGGTTGTCGCCGGTTCTCAGCTCCAGGCGTCAGTTGTGAGCTACAGCGTGTTTAACTACATGGAGGAGTACAATCTGTCTCAAACTGAAGTAAGAGCAGACAGTTTCAGAGAGTAACGTATCTTGTTTGTTTGTTTATTTGTTTGTTTGTTTGTTTGTTTGTTTGTTTAGGATCTCCATTTGTGTGATTTTCACACTACTCTTCCTGGAGTCCGTAGTGAATAATCAGATAAGTATTTGGACCATCCCACACCGGGGCATGCCCTACTCTTTTTCGAAAGGTGTGGTGGGTTCTTTAACGTGCGTGGGGTGTGGCTCTCCCCAAACACGGGACCTCCATTTAACGTCCTATCCGAGGGACGTCCCTAACCAAAGCTAGGTAGTACTCATTTACACCTGAGTGAAGTGAGGAAAGTCGTGTAAAGTGCCTTTCCCGGTGATCGGTGGCATGTCAGGACTCGAATCTGGGACCCCTGGGTTCCGAGTCGAGTACTCTGCCGCTACGCCACACGACCCCACAGAATTCTTCAAATATGAGGTCATTGACCATCAAGAACGAAATATAAAATGCATATTTTTCTATTTGCTGTCCGCCTTTAAAAAACTCTGCTTATAGACGAATAGCTGCCTTAAAAGGAAACTAAAACGACTTGACAAAATTGTAATAGAATGTATTGAAAAGGTGATATTTTATCATATGATCAATAAAGTACAGAAGAAAGTGTTTAAGGCATAAAATAACATACATATGTTTCCCACAGGCAGAGGCGGTGAGTGACCACTGGCCAGTGGAGATGGACATCGCCTAGTGCCCCCCCCCCCCGTACATCGGCAATGGAGGACGCACGGTAATGATGTAACTACAGGCTATTATCACCAGAATAGAGCATTTGATTCAAACCATCGATTAGAAACCATTTCTAATGTATGTTTATTGTTTATTTGTTTATTTCGATTTTTCACAAAGTGAAAGGGAGGGCAAAACAGGTGCATACGCACCTTTACAAGTTGCCCTCCCCCCACAAAAACACATATACAACATCATGAACAACATCAGAATTTACATGGTCAATAACAACAAGTGAAAATACATCAATATAGAAGGTTAAGAATAATTCATAATATTGTGGAGACATTCTGAGGTCCTAAATACTGTTCTTAATTGTGCTAACCCTAATCAAATTAGTCTAATCAAACTGTGTTTTCTTTTCACTTCAGGAACACCTTTATCTCTGCTGACCAGCCGATGTACATGTATGAGTGACAATGGACCAGATGATTCGCATTCTGCTTGTTGTGAATAAACTTGTAAAACTGCTACGCTCACTCGGTGGTTTAATTCTGTGGTTATAGCAACTGACCATATACACCTCAGGGTGGGTCATTAACCATTAGCAGGTGCTATGCCCCGTGTTTGGCAGAAAGCCATTGAAAGAGGTTGTTTACCGTCTTTCGTCTATGCAATGCTTTACATACGATGACCTTGTTTTCCTATATACCTCGTGTTTGGCAGAAAGCCATTAAATGCAGTTGTTTACCGTCATTTCGTCTGATACAATACCGGTACTTGACATACGATCGCCTTGTTTTCCTTCAGCCTCACAATCCTATCCTTAAGATTCTGAGCTGTTCCTGTACTTCCTAAGATATAGTAGGTAAGGATTGTAACATGGGCTACAAGTAGAGTTTACTCATTATAATGCCTAACTCCTAAAGGTTGGATAGTTTTGTCCAGCTTTTTAGAATAAACGTGGGACATAGGCAGCTGTTGCTGGTGTTGTGTCCGACACATATGGAAACAAATACAGGACAGGGCAATACCCATTTTCACTAGAGTTAAGTGAGAAAAGTCATGTTAAGTGCCAAGGCTCTAGATCGGTGGCATGTCAGGACCTGTTGGTTCCGGGTCAACCACTCTGCCGTTACGCCACACGACCATTTGGAACTTCATACAAGGCAAATACACGTGACGTCTATGAGCCATACAGGTTTGAAGTCACACACACCGACAACCTTTTCAGCCATTGCATAAAGAACGTCAGCCTCCCTTAATCTTCTATTCATGGCAAAAGATGAAGGAAGATTTTAGGGCTTTGTCCATTGTCAAATAACTACTTTATTCATGATGAGCGAAATACAAGCCATTAAAAGTAGTTGTTTAACGTCATTTCGTCATATGCAATGCCCAAGATACGATCGCCTTTCAGCCCCCAAATTCTTATCCGATCTCTTATTTCCTAAGGTATTGTAGGTATGGAATATAACATGGGTTACATATGGAGTTTACTCATTATAATATCTAACATCTGACGGTGGGATAGTTTTTTTTTCAATCTATTCTAGCAGACAGAACACTTGGCCATCTTTGAACTTAATACACGTAACTTCCATGAGCCATACAGGTTCGAAGTCACACACACCGACAGCTTTTCAGCCATTGCATAAAGAAAGGTCAGCGTCACTCATACCCCCTCACCCACCTATTCACGGAGGTCAAGGACGATTTTAGGGCTTTGTCCATTATCAAATAACTACTTTATGAGCGAAGTACAAGCCATTCTAGCAGTTGTTTACCATCATTTCGTCCTAATCAATGCTTTGTATACGATCGCCTTGGTTTCTTGTAGCCTCAACATCCTATCCTTAAGATTCTGATCTGTTCATCTACTTTCTAAGGTATTGTAGCATTTGGCCATCTTGGAACTTAATACAAGGCAAATACACGTGGCGTCCATGAGCCATACAGGTTCGAAGTCAAACACACCGACAACCTTTTCAGCCATTGCATAAAGAAAGGTCAACCTCACTCCGACCCCCTCAAGAAGGACCAATCAAACTGCCTCATAGCTAGATCAGATTGAGGGAGTTAGGTTTCACGAAGTATACCTCCCGCAGCCGATTGCGCACTTGAAAATACTCAGTCGTTATTTTGTCTGTACTATTCAAGAAGAACACAAGCAAACCAGGAGAATGAAGTTCAGTTCGGCTTTTTTGGCTCTCGGGGTTTTGGCCCTCTCTGGTGCCGGTACGGCGCTGAAAATCGGCGCCTTTAACATTCAGACCTTCGGTAGGAGTAAGATGTCCAAGCCTGAAGTCGTGGAAATCCTGCTTACGGTCAGTCTAATTCATATATCTATGAGAAACATACATTTACCGTGTATGTAGCATACAACAGGCTTTACTGAGTAACCACTGATGGTAAGATTCGGCAAACTTTGGGTCAGCAATTGGCCAGGAGAGAGAGCCATGGTAAAGGACTAACATGTACCACGAACAAGTGGAATTTATATATGTTCTGTACGTAGGATATTTTCGTTGTACCCATGTATATTTGTCTGTATATCTACATGTCTTTGACCTAAAAAAAAGTCGCTGTACTTTTTGTTGTGTCAATAAAGTTCTACATATATATTGTCGCCAAACTCTCCCGGCGACTTCTCCATCCTTTTTGACATAAATTTGACAACTTCAACCCAGGTTTTTAATCCTAGGTATGCGTGATTTTTTTTTTTGGTGTGTGTGTGTGTGTGTGTGTGTGTGTGTGTGTGTGTGTGTGAATGTGTGTGTGTGTGTGTGTGTGTGCGAGACAGAGAGGGGCAGACAGACATATAGACAACAGAACACAGAAACCTACTGACAAACAACGGACAAAGATACAAAGGCAGATTTGTATGGTACTATACGTACTTTTTCTAACCCTTCTCACAGATTGCAGAGCGGTATGACATCTTACTGATCCAAGGGATTCGGGACAGCACGGAAACCGCCATTTACGACTTTCTGAACCAGCTTAATGGGTAGGTTTCTCTTGCCAGTTAACTAGCGTATCAGTCGTGGGAAGGACTAGTGTATATATTCTTAGTCCTCAAGCTGGTTCTTCTCTTCAAATTTTGACCCTTTTTTTAGTTTGACCTTGGAACAGCTAAGGTTTTGAGTTAATATGGACAATGTTTTTGTTTTGACGTTTCGGATTTTATTTGTTTCTACTGAATACTCCCCCCTTTACTGCTGACGGAATGTAACAGGTCCTGTCCTCGGAAATCAACTTTTACAAGTTGAAGGGGCAACACAGCCGCCTTGTGCTGAATCAGAAAAAATAAGCCCAGAAGGTTTCAGACGTTGTAAGGTTTGAAATCAAGCAGTCATACAGGTATAGAATAAGAAATATTCATTATACTTTGACCCACAGCCGTGACGGAAACAACTACACCTTGCTGTTGAGCCCCCGTATGGGGAGGTCTTCCTACAAGGAGCAGTACGGCTATCTCTACAGGTGAGTGCAGAGGATAGGGCAGAGATCGCATCGAGCTATTTTAATGGTTTAAAAACCATCTTGGATTGGGGCCGAAAAGTCTTGAACCTGGGGCCGAATCGTCCTGGACTTGGGGCCAAAACGTAATGGACTTGGGGCCGAAACGACCGGGATGTGGGACCGAAACGTCCGGATCCTGATCCTGATGTTTTAACAATGTTTGTACAAAAAACAACGTTAAGACATGTAAGAACTTTATTGTTTCCCCTCTAAAGGAACGACAAGCCGAATGTCGTGGAAGACTACCACTATAGCGACCCTGGAGACATCTTCCACAGGGAACCCTTCGTCGTCCGGTTCCAGTCAGGAACTACCTGTACGTAAGAGTTTGTCATTAATATGTTTTGGTTCGGTTGTAGGGCCGTAGAAACCCGTTAGGGGACTCATAATAAAACCTGTCGTTTGTTTGGCTGACGCCTATCCACGTGCTAAATACCATGACGATCCGTTCACAACTTCTCGAGTTACGCTGTTTGCAAACAATTGTACACGGTCACAAACACACACACATACACACTCACATACACATGTACCACCATGGAAAACCCCTCTTTCCCATACGTCGAGGTGGCCCAGTGCATGCACTCTTCTCCGATATAGCTTTTGGCCCTTATGGCAGACATTAGGGACCCTCTATTTCAGCACCAAGGACATCGCCTGCGTAAATAGCAGATGACCGGCCGGGGTTTGAACTCACGACCTCCCGGTTGCAAATCGAACACTCCACCCAATTAAGCTATAATTGCAGCGGTACGACATACCAACTGTAATATCTCAGCTTACCTGACTATCGCGGCCAACTGTATTTGTTTGTCTCTATATATAGCCGTCCAAGACTTCGTGCTGATCCCCCTGCACGCCGACCCCCAGGACGCAGTGGCGGAAATAAATCGACTGTACAACGTGTACCTGGATGCCGTGGACCGCTGGGGTATCAATGACGTCATCATCTTGGGGGATCTCAACGCCGACTGCAGCTACGTGAAAAGCGCTGATTGGTCGAACATTCGAATCTGGACGGACAAACGGTTCGAATGGCTGATCGGGAACGAGGCTGACACAACCGTCAAAGACAGCTCCGACTGTGCTTATGACCGGTACGCATGCGCTTGGGGTAGCTTACTTCGTCATAGATTGGACTTAAGTGGCTTCTTATCCACTTCTCGTCGCCCGATGACCCAAATAGAAATAATATTTTCTAACTAACCCCCTTAAGCAAGAACCGCTTTTGTAAACACCAATTGATTTAGCACAAGCTCACTGCGCTCACGCAAAAGAGACCATATGACAAGAACATTTAAAATTAATGAATGTCATTCCATGCAGTAATGTAGAACACAACTTGTAAATTTGTGGTGCTTTTTTTCAGATTAGTCATTGCTGGTTCTCAGCTCCAGGCGTCTGTTGTGAACTACGGCGTGTTCAACTACAAGGAAGAGTACGACCTGTCTCAAGATGAGGTAAGACCAGTAAATCATCTTTTCTTCCGCCTTTAACATCAGAAATGGCTAAATATGAGATCATTGACCATCGAGAACGAAATATACAACATTTTTCTATTTGCTGCCCTTAATAGAATGTATTGAAATGGAGACTTTAATCACATGAACAATAAGATACAAAAGAAATTGTTTAAGGCATGGAATGACATGTATTCTCCACAGACGGAGGCAGTGAGTGACCACTATCCAGTGGAGATGACCATCGCCTAGTGCCCCCCCCGTGCATCGGCTAAGAAGGACGCACGGTAATGATGTTACCAAATTTTGTTATCACGAGAATAGAGCTATCTTTTTTTTTTTTAAATCCATGCACTGTTGGATTCAAACCATCTATTTGAAACCATTTCTAATGTATGATTATTGTGGAGAATTCCTGAGGCCCTAACTGTGTTTCTTTTTTACTTCAGGAACGCCTTAAGCTCTGCTTAAGTATTTGACCAGCCAACGAGTGACATGAACCAGATGATTTGCATTCTGCTTGGTGAATGAGTTTGTAAAACTGAAATTTGCGGTGTCTTGTTACACATTTGCAGTGTCAGTTGTCTATTTACACACACAAGACTTGAACGTATCTCAACGAAGAGATATAGATAGGACCCTGTCGGGACAGAGGATGACGCTCCACTAAAGAAACAGCACAGGGAAATTGGGTATGCGTCAACGACATAATGTCAGGCTTGGAAACCAGATTTTTCAAAGCCAATATTCTAGTCACTTATTTACATTTGAGTTGAAACCACACTGTTCCAATGTATATTAAATACTTATATATATATATTTCTTTTATTTTATTTTTTAGCATTGTATACCTTAGACATAATGTTAGCCTTTCTTTATTACTATTGTTGTAGTACTCTCTAGTACATTGTACTTTGTACATCCATGCATCTATCCCTCCGGGGAATGAACATGCAATAAAGTTTCATTTCATTTCATTAAACCTCATGGAGCAAAAAAATCCCAAAATTCTGACGAAAAACGGTCACTGGAAGGACCTGGGCTGATTTTTAGGGCACCACCAAGAAAATGAAGGACTAATCTTAGGCTTGTTTCTGCAGTTTTAAATGCCTTTAAGTATGAAATACTGATGTGCTATGTTTCAATATCATACAGATTGCCTTATTCATAATATTTTCCAGTTTTGTCACCCTAAAATTGCACTGGATGCCTTTAATGTCATTGCACCGAAAAACCTACTTATACCATGCGTAAATGTTCTGTTTCTGACTTGGGCGTACCTTTAAGTAAACTTTAAGGTGGGCTTGATAAAAAAAATAAAGGTTGAATTTCGTACAGGGTTTATTTCGAGTTCATTCTGTACCCTAAACTTCTCTAGGACTGTACACAAAACAGTTACTACTTTGCCGGATAATATGTATAATTATAACACAAGCAAAGCTTCGCAAAGATAATAAAAACTTCTCGCAATCCTCCTTTTTTACATTTTTCTGTTTCCTACTTATTTTGTCCCAGAAAAACCCCCGTTATGACAACCAAAGAGACGAAAAATGCGGCCAAAAGACATTTGTCTATCTTTTCAGCCAGGATTTTCCACTCTTTCTCTATCTTTTCTTTTTTTACATTTTTCTCTTTCCTACTTATTTTGTCCCAGAAAAACCCCCGTTATGACAACCAAAGAGACGAAAAATGCGACCAACAGACATTTGTCTATCTTTTCAGCCAGGATTTTCCACTCTTTCTCTATCTTTTCTTTCCTGGTCCTCCTGTCGTATTCCTCTCTGAGTTTACATTTTTCTCTTTTCTACTTATTTTGTCCAAGAAAAACTCCAGTTATGACAACCGAGGAGACGAAAAATGTGACCAACAGACATTTGTCTATCTTTTCAGCCAGGATTTTCCACTCTTTCTCAATTTTTTCTTTCCGGACTCTCCTGTCGTATTCCTCTCTGAGCTTACATTTTTCTCTTTTCTACTTATTTTGTCCAAGAAAAACTCCAGTTATGACAACCAGAGAGACGAAAAATGCGACCAACAGACATTTGTCTATCTTTTCAGCCAAGATTTTCCACTCTTTCTCTATCTTTTCTTTCCGGATCTTCCTGTCGTAGTCCTCTCTTAGCTGTTGCAGTATCCTTCTAGCTCTGCGGACAAGTTGCATTGTTGCCTTCACTCTGTCAGTCACAAACGATGCAGGCCTTTCCACACGCTCAATGTGTACGGGCGGGTTGAGTATCCTGACTTTCCTTCCCGTTCTCTCTACGTTTGGAGGCGGTGGGCCGAGACAGAAGATGCACCGCAGCCAACCGGGAACGGGCTGGGGGTCAAAGCCGGTCTTGAAATGTAGACTCAGAATGAAGATTGTCAGAGCAGACGATGCACTGACAAGAATAATGGTCGCTCCGAAAAATACGTCTGAAAAAAATAACGTTTGCTTTTAGTGTACACGGTTTGTGATAGTAGTAAAAACCTACGTTTTATGACAAGAAATTTTAATGCTAAACTATGGTTTAGTCTACATGTACTGCATGTGTATGATGTCTGTGTACTCTCTATGGACATACATATACGTACTGTGTGCGTATTGCTCACACCACTTATTCCTGACAGGAAAAGCTATCTGTCACCAAAAAGTCAAGACCATAGCATGTTCAGGACAAAAGATACAAAAACCGGAAGCCCTGCTGCAGTACCAAGGTCAGCCACCAGGAGGCCTATATTTGACCTTAACCTTTGTCTTCCTAAGGCCTACCAGCACACCAAATATCATCACAATCCATAAAGGCGTTATGAAGTTTGAAGTTATGCTGACTACAAATGTGCGGAAACACATGTACAAACACACACACAGACAGACACAGAAACACACGTGCACACACACACACACACACACACACACACACACACACACACACAGACAGAGAGAGATACCCCAAAAACAATACCTCAATTTTTCATGGAGGTAATAAAATAGTTTCTGTTATACTTACTCATCAGAGGGATGCTTGTACCAGAGTCTGGTAGATGCCCGTTCACCACTTGTAAAAACACGCTGAGAGTCAGCATTAGGGTGATACAAAGCGACAATCTACTACCCGCATGTGGGGGCAGCCAAAAGCCACACACAGCCATAAAGGCTAGGATCACGCTTGGGGACAGTATGTAGAATATGAAGTACGTTGACCGCCTTTTGAGGGTAATGGTGAAGGTTATGTCGTCCCATAGTACACCAGGACAGCAGGAGTATTCTACTTGATTGATTTTGTGGTCAAACGACAGGAGAGTCCATTCCCCGTTCTCAACGAACCGATTCGTGCGCCCCGTGTCCGAATAGTTGACTAGTTTCAGTGTGGTCTCGTCGTATTCCCAGGAGCCGAATTTCAAGAGGCATCTCTGCACGTCGAAGGGAAAGCGGGCGATGTCCAGGACACAGGTGCTGTGGATGGTGATCGGGTACGCCCAGTGCACTTCGCCGTTGCTTCGCACGATGGCGTTCGTGTCCGGTGTGTCGGACCAACCGTCTTCATGCTCTCTGCGTGAGCGACAAAACCGTTACCGATGATAGTGGGAACTAGAGTTCTAGGAACACATACCTTCGGCGAGTAAAAGCGTGCAGTATAATGCAAAGTGCTCCTGTACCATTCACACCATCTTAGGACGCGCGTGCCGCCTTGATACGGTTCAACGTAGTTATACGCAAAAGCGTTACTGATAATAGTGGAAAGATATAGAACTAGAAAGGTACAATTGCAAAGCAAATGCATAACGTTTACCTTCGCATATGGTCTGCTCTTTTAATTCTTACACAAACACATTCATATATATATATATATATATATATATATATATATGGTCAGACAGGAGTCTAAATCCCTCCTGCTATAAAATTGCAGCATGATGTAACCCAACACTAGTTGCACCCTATTTGTTTGGAGAAGAAGAAGAGGAAAAAGAAACAGAGCAAAAACAATGTTTTCCTTCGCAATATACAAAATACGTAGGCCATATAAAACTATATACGTTTCTGATGATAGTGGAAAGATATAAAAACATGCAACGAGCCGAAGCCATGCATACTTAGTACATAAATGCGTGCACAGAAGACACCCGGACCGATGTAGGAACAAGACCCTAGCATGCCAAGACCAGGGATATGAGAATACCAGTATAGTAGGACGTTGCGCTGCATTAACAAGGAAAGCCGCTAGGAGGTCCAAAATGGACCTCACCTTTTCATCAATAGCTTCTTACCGGAAACACGGACAACTAAACACACAGATACCTGTTGTAATTCACAAGGACTGGCCTCCATATTTCCTCACTCTTGAGGCTGATACTTGTAATGTTGCCGAAGTCAGCAGGGTTCCAAGTTAGGAAGTCGTCCCTCCACCTCTACAAAGAAAATGAAACAAGAACTCGAAAATTTCACAAATCTAAGTACTCAGAGTTGTGCATTTATTGTTTTATTCATTAGGCCACAGCAAGTAAATTGTATGGATGACATCCTCTGCAGACTCCAAATCTAATGCGAGCGGGCGAAAAAAAAAAGGCGGGCCGAAAAAAACAAGGTCCCTACATTTTTAAATTTTGACTCAATCATTGTACCAGTGGGAACATCACATATATACAGCCAACATCACATATCACTGCATCAAAGTAAGAAACAAAACATTAAATCAGAGCCTTTTCTTGTCTCCCCTCTTTATAGTTATCTGCCATCCACCTTCCGGCATGGCAACGGACATCTTTGCCCATTTTCGGCATGTTGACCACTGACAGAAGGCAACAAACTTTCTTTTTTTTCCAAAATCAGGCAAAAATTAATGCGCGCTGATGTCATCCATAAAAATTACTTTCTGTGGCCATATTGAGAATTTCTTGCTGTTTCTGTGCATATTCCACTGATACGTTCATTGACCATTTTGACCTCTAACTCTGTGTAGGACCTCTAAGGCTAACTTCCTGTCAGTCTGCGGTTACATCATCCCCCCACACCACTTCCCGTGTCTCTACTGTATTCAAATAAATACGGACACACAAACAAACAAACGGGAAACACACAGACTGTTATTCACGTTTTTGCATAACTTATAGGTTGACAGAAACGTCATGGTGAGACTGTTATTCACGTTTTGCATAACTTATAAGTTGACAGAAACGTCGTGGTGAGACTGTTATTCACGTTTTTGCATAACTTATACGTTGACAGAAACGTCGTGGTGAGACCGTAAACAACGTACCTGCCAAAGCCAGAAGTTGATGGTGATGACTTGCCTCTGAGCATCCTGCAAATTGCAATAACAACAAGTAAAATCTGAGATTTTATACCTCCGGGCTTTTTATTGTATATTTTTATATAGGGTTTTAAACAAAGAATTTGTCGAGACCGGACACCCCTCTGTGTGAGGGGTCATATACGTGGACCAGACCGAGAATAGCTTAAACACGCCAAAGGTCAACGGTCGCGACCACTTTCGCGCTCAAAGGGGTGTTCTGGGGCCACCAAAAGGCACCATTTTCACGCCCGAAAACACATATACAATAAAAACAAAAGAACGTGCATCATCTGCAGCCCAATAGCAAAACATATACCGAATCTCAAAAGAATCCGTCCACCCAAACGCGAGAAACAGCTGCGAACATGAAAATCTAAATCTCTCACAAAACCCTTCCGCGGAAGGGTGTCTCCTCCCCCGGAGGTAATGAGCTTTATTGCATATTATCATATGGCCAGAAGGCGTCGACCAATCAGGTCGACCATTGGTTATCAATGTCACGTGGTCACCGCAGATGATTGCTTAGATGATCTGTTTTTCTGTCCATGCCATCTTGTTTCACGTAATGTGAGAGATTTTTTCGGCAATGGTGGAATTTTATAAAGGAATTTTGTCAAATAATTGTGTCAGTTGGATAGGCTATATGATAATAACGTTAATGCCCCGCCTTATCCTCGGTGTATATGGTGAGATAATCCCTGGTCAGGTGTGATAACCACCTCATAAACCGCCTCGTTCGCTACGCTCGCTTGGTGGTTTATTCGGTGGTTATCACACCTGACCAGGGATTATCTCACCATATACACAGAGGATAAGGCGGGGCATTAACACTTTGTTTATGCCATACATGGGCAAAATACCCTACGTTTATAGATATCTGAAGTATAAGGGCAGGAGAAATAATTTTGAAGCATGCGTAGGCAAATTTAAGTATATTTTCAATAATGTCGTTGTTCCTAGATGTCAGACATACGTTTAACAGCCACACCTTGAAAAAAATGTCCTTCTAACGTCAATGTGGTGTGACCCAGATACATTCCTTTCGGAATTGGCGGAAAGGCGCGGCACAGTATGTGGTTCAACCGCATTGGTTTTGACTCACACTGTTACTAGATCTATATATAGCCATTCACTTACACTGTTGCTATACAAATACTGTTACTTATGAATGTGTAGCTAACGAAAGATGTGTATATACAATTTTTGGGTAGGGTGAGAGAGTAAAACGCACCCTTTGATGTGAATTTCACGGTGTAAAATTTAACACAGAGTCTAATGGTGGGCCTCTGTTTGCCAAGCATCAAACAAAAACAAAATAATATATGGTTCATGAAAAAAATTCAACTGTTCTCCAACTCAAAACGACATTAACTCACCAGAAATTTTCGACTGAATCGCTTTTTGACTTGGAGTACAGTTGAATTTTTTCCATGCATTTTACCAGCTCAGATGAACTTTCATGCTAATATATGGTTCCTACCACAAAATGTAGGCAGATCAAGACGATTGAAAGTAATTTTGTGTTGTACCAGTTTGATGATCTGTAACTGTGACACGTCCAATGATAATAAGACGGCTTGTGCTGGGTTCTGTAGAGGACGACCATCTTTCTGGTAGCCTGTCAGTATCCTGTCGGCCACTTCCTTCTCCGAAACACCAGTAACTGGGGATAGGGAACAGTAAACTGTCAGTAATCTGTCCGTTATTAGTCAGTAACATGTCTTGTAGTATCCTGTCGGCCACTTCCTTCTCCGAAACACCGGTAACTGGGCACAAGGAACAGTAAACTGTCAGTAATCTGTCAGTTATTAGTCAGTGACATGTCTGGTAGTATCCTGTTGGCTACTTCCTTCTCCGAAACACCGGTAACTGGGGATAGGGAACAGTAAACTGTCAGTAATCTGTCAGTTATTAGTCAGTAACATAGTAAACTGTCAGTAATCTCTCAGTTATTAGTCAGTAACATGTCTGGTAGTATCCTGTCAGCCACTTCCTTCTCCGAAACACCGGTAACTGGGGATAGGGAACAGTAAACTGTCAGTAATCTGTCAGTTATTAGTCAGTAACATGTCTTGTAGTATCCTGTCGGCCACTTCCTTCTCCGAAACACCGGTAACTGGGCACAAGGAACAGTAAACTGTCAGTAATCTGTCAGTTATTAGTCAGTGACATGTCTGGTAGTATCCTGTCGGCTACTTCCTTCTCCGAAACACCGGTAACTGGGGATAGGGAACAGTAAACTGTCAGTAATCTGTCAGTTATTAGTCAGTAACATAGTAAACTGTCAGTAATCTCTCAGTTATTAGTCAGTAACATGTCTGGTAGTATCCTGTCAGCCACTTCCTTCTCCGAAACACCGGTAACTGGGGATAGGGAACAGTAAACTGTCAGTAATCTGTCAGTTATTAGTCAGTAACATGTCTTGTAGTATCCTGTCGGCCACTTCCTTCTCCGAAACACCGGTAACTGGGCACAAGGAACAGTAAACTGTCAGTAATCTGTCAGTTATTAGTCAGTGACATGTCTGGTAGTATCCTGTTGGCTACTTCCTTCTCCGAAACACAGGTAACTGGGGATAGGGAACAGTAAACTGTCAGTAATCTGTCAGTTATTAGTCAGTAACATGTCTGGTAGTATCCTGTCAGCCACTTCCTTCTCCGAAACACCAGTAACTGGGTATAGGGAACAGTAAACTGTCAGTAATCTGTCAGTTATTAGTCAGTAACATGTCGGAAACATGTCAGTAACGTGTAAGTAACATCTCAGTAGCAATACTTGTGTGTAGAGAACAGTAAATTGTCAGTAAGCTGTCAGTTATTAGTCAGCAACACGTCTGTAACATGTCATTAACGTGTAAGTAACATCTCAGTAGCAATACTTGGGTGTCAATCTGTAGTTGCATATCTCTTTTATGAAGAGGAAGAAACTTTATTGCACGACAATTGTACAAGGTACGTCTACTGAGAAAGTACAAAAAAGAAAAGGGTATAGAATGAAAATTAACAACCTAATTGCTTAAAATCTAGAGATAATACTCTATACAATCAAGTATATGTGTTTGTATTTTTAAACGCGTCCTGAAAGATTAGTCACATAAATTGTCTGAAGGTTATCTTGAAGGCACCCAGTGCAGTTTTAGGGCTTGGAAACCCGATTTTTCAAAGCCAATTATTCTAGTTATTTATCTACTTACTGAGATGCAACTACACTATCCCAATGTATATTAACCCTCATGGAGCAAATTACCAAAATTCTGACGGAAAATGGTCACTAGAAGGGTCCTGGGATGACTTTTAGGGTACCACCCCGAAAATAAAAGACTGATCTTGGGGCTTGTTTCTGCAGTTTTAAAACCCCAAAGTATGAAATACTGATTCAAACGTGCTAATGTGAAGCAGTATGTCACAAAGATAACCTTATTCAGAATATTCCCAGTTTTGCTGCCCTGAAATCGCATTGGGTGCCTTTAATAAACATAAATTTAAAGTTAAAATGTCAGTTTGGAGGATCTTACCGGAGTAAGTGAGGGACGACAGAACAAACACGAAGACTGTAGAAGTAATTGATGTCATGATCAGTTTATAATCCTGAAAATATAAGGAACACAGATACCTGTATCTGTAAACGGAGAAACATAACATTGTGATTTGACCTGTATGTGGTAGGTACATTTTAGTGTGTATCCGAAGCTAGTATTGTACTAAGTACCTACTCCTTGGAGTCACCCAGGTGAAAAGTTAGACCAAAGTCGTTCAGATGAAAGCCTGGTATCCAGTCTTACGTGATTGGAGCTGTTGGGGTGTTCAGTCAGGCTGTGTCTTCGGGGGCTCTAATAGCTTCCCCCGCCCGGTGCAACAGGCCGTCTCGGTAGGAGTGTTACGCTAATAACAGATGGTATGCTTGGGGCTTTGGTTTGCCCCAACACGTTATCGTGGTAGGGCTATTCAATCTCCCATCGTGAAATACACACCGGGAAACCTAGCTGAGGCGGGCGGGACAGAGCTCCTTCAGCCCCGAGAAATACCCGACCCTACCACGTAAGACTGGATACCAGGTTGTTTAGATGGGTGTATAGTTCATCGTTGGAATACTGAGTACAGGGGTACAATATATCTCAAATATCTCTTAATGTTAGTTGAGTTTTCTCAGTGCAAGACAGGATTTAGGAGAGACCACTAATTCTAAGCACTTATTCTGGCTACCGCATTCCCTGTTCTGTGTTGGTAAATTTAGAGCCTCTTGTTGATTTATTATTATATTTCTTGATGTTTGTTGATTTTTCTCAGTGCAAGTAAGGATTTAGAAGAGACCACTAGTACTTCTAAGCACTTATTCTGGCTACTGTATTCCCTGTTCTGTGTTAGCAAATCTAGATCCCAATGTTTATTTAAGCGTTATTTTAATGATCGTTAGCGATTGTCTGTTTTCGTGGTTTATGACTGTTAGTACATTATGATCGATCAATATGAACGGTTTATCAATCAATCAATCAATCAATCAATCTTTATTCAATCAGCTAGCAGACGAGAGTCTGAATTGAGTTGTTTTTACAGTTCATAAAATCATACGTTAAACTATACTAATGATTTAAAAATTACATAATTTACACGATAATAACACAAACTCGCTAGAGAGCTATAATGCCTCTTTACGCAACAAGTAGAAGTAAAGGACAATGAGACAAGGCTACAAATTTGGCTATTGGCTTTGTTAAAGGTTTCATACAGTTAAATGATATGATACTTACCTGCTTTGACGTCTATGTATTTACTTAATTATGTATGTATATAAGTTGTACCATGTTATGATGAATATTTGTTTAGATTTATTAAGACTCTGAATCATGTATCCAAGTCTGATGTATACATTATGTGTTTTGTAGGAATTTGTTGACCCTTGAACCTCTCCCCTGCATGATGACCACAATGAAAAGCGGCCTGTTGGCCGAATTGTGTATTTTCATCAATAAATAAAGGCGCAAACAAACAAACTGCACTAATTAACTAACGTTTAACAGCTCAACAATGTAAGGAATGGGCGATTTTTTGTACCGTTCTGTACGGCAATATGGTGTGTCAAACTTATGTGCAAATTTCAACACTGTCGCACACATAGGGGCTGAATTGTGTTGTAACATGACAACATATTCAGTAAGAGACATATTCACATGTAAAAACACGTAGTGTAAGAACAGTCTATACAAAATTCTGCCGGTTTAACAGATACTGGTAAAAAGTAAAATTGATCGACAAGTTAAAAGACTTGTAAAAATATTCCATTTTGGTTATGATGTCGTTGTGTAGACGATATCTCCATTATTGTTATTGTTCAGATTCGAGTACACTACGTACACAGGCACCCGGCATTTTGACCTTCATACAAAGACATCCATTCATCCTACCTTGTTCAAGGTGACCTTGATCAAAGATCTCGCAAGCACAAGAATGGAACCACCAGAAAACCCTCCTTAAGATGGCACCAAACGCATCTCAAGAAACTGACGTCTACTTGTACGTAGTCGTAAAGATGTACAGCCATTTTTAAAAGTGGGTTCATGCCGTGAGACTGATTATAATATTCAGCGTGTGCCCCCAGACTTAACCCCCATGAGGCTAGGCCTTATTAGGCTTCAGCAAGTAAATTTTATGGATGACATCCTCCGCAGACTCCAAATCTAATGCAAGCGGGCAAAAAAATAAATTTCCTACATTTTGAAAATTTGACTCAATCATTGTACAAATGGTTTTGATTCAGTGGGAACATCACATATACACAGCCAGCATCACATATCACTGCATCAAAGTAAGAAACAAAACATTAAATCAGAGCATTTTCTTGTCTCCTCTCTTCATAGTTATCTGGCATCCACCTTCTGGCATGGCAACAGACATCTTTGCCCATTTTCGGCATGTTGACCACTGTCAGAAGGCAACAAAATTTCTTGGTTTTCTTCCCCCCAAATCAGGCGAAAATTAATGCTTGCGCTGATGTCATCCATAAAAATTACTTGCTGTGGCCTTATAAACAGATGCGCCTTCTTTTGAAATATCGTCAAACCTGTTTCCACGAATGTCTTGAGGCTATTGAAACCAACTCCCATTGCGCAAATTGTCACCCTATGACCTCTGATACAATCACTAGAGCGCAAAACTTTACAATCTGTCTGTGAACGTTTTCGTGAGGAAAAGTATTAGGGCGCAGCACATTCCAAAACGTTTGTATCAGTGCCTCACCTTACTGGCGATATTATTATAGCCTTTGGCGTTTGTCTCAAATCTAGTTTTCTTACAAAACAATAGAAGTAGTTAGAAAAGAGGGTAGGTGTGCCTGTACTGGGGGTAATCAGCTGGAAGAGTTGAGCTGAACATTTTGTCTGAGATTTTTTTCAACTCGGCGAAAGGTCGAGGTAAGTCTACTAATATTTTCACTGTTGTATCGTTGAATTATTCTTTTTTTCTACATGTGCGTATTTGTAGAAAAAGCAAGAAGTTGACCACTCTGTATTAGCTCAGTAACTAGAACACTTTGTATTAGCCTAGTATAGTACCCTTGTATGCTCCTTATGTAAGTATATCTAAGTCAAGTAGTGTATCTTTTGTCTCCACTTTTCTACATACGTTTGTTATGTGTCTGTTAAGTCTTGACCAATACCTAGTCCGTCGTGGCATGAATGTACAATAAAGGCATTTCATATTTCATATAACGTACGTTGCTCTAGTTTTCGAGACAGAAAAAAATCAGGGTCGCTTAGGGCGCAGGTAATATCAATTAGTGAGTGGGGCACATTAGCCAAGCAATTGGTGGTTTAGTATCAACATTGCTGTTTTAAAATCACCGTATCTGATCCATCCCTCTGTAATCGAATGGTCCCGGGTTCGAGTCCCCTTGGAAAAGGCACTTTACACGACTTTCCTCACTTAACCCAAGTGAAAATGAGTATTATCCTGTCATGTATTTGTACTCTGTGTTGGTGGCGGCATAAAATAACTCGAGTGTGTCGTCGCCATGTTTAATTATGAAATGTTGGAATAAAAAAATGATATATAACGTTTCAGATACATATACTTCACTTGTAATACGTAACTTGTATAATCAGGTATGTATACATACACGTAAAGCGTGTGTGTTCTTGCTGTAGATATTAATGGTGAAATTTCTGTTACAGATCTTTTCATTTCTGAGAGTCACAACAAAGAAAATACACCATGTTTTTCTGTATAACACTGGTGATGTTGCTGACTACGTTTAATAGTAAGTTGTCTATTTTAATAACTAGATCAGTTTCCTACGATTGTTGTTATGTAGTAGATGTCACTAATACGCTGTATCTTATGCAACTGTTGTGCAATAGAGTTTTATCATGGCCACCTACAACAGATCTAACACACATTACAGTCTTGACCTGCCATGTACTTGGACCACTTCTTGTGGGTGTAGTTCTAATGTATTGCTTCTAGACCGCATTAAGTCTTGTTTCAACACAATTCATACTACTTATTAGATATATTTGATAATTTTATTATTATGCTTGGCCTTCTATATTGATTGCCTATTCTGTGTATTTTTATACTTGTTGTCATTGACTATGTAAATTTTGATGTTGTATATGTGTTTTTGTATGGGGGAGGGCAACTTGTAAAGATGCGTATGCACCTGTTTTGCACTACCTTTCTCTTTGTGAAAAATCAAAATAAACTAGAAAAGTAACATTTGCAAAGCAAATGCATAATGTTTACCTTCGGACATGGTCTGCTCTGTTAATTCTTACCCAAACACATTCACGTATATGGTGACAGGAGTCTAAATCCCTCTTACTATGAAATTGCAACATTATGTAACCCAACACCAGTTACCATGGTGGCAGACGTTTACAAATCAGGTCATTGGCCAGGTCAGAGGTCACTGTTTGGAGAAGAAGAGGAAACTGAGCAAAAACAATATGTTTTCCTTCGGTAAACATAACAAATAAACAAATATTTACTCTTTTTCACAGTGACACAGGCAGTCACTGAATCCGAGCTGACACAGACTCTACTGAAAGATTACAGAAAGGACACCAGACCTGTTAAAGACCCGTCCACTGTTGTTAACGTCGTCATGAGTATCGTACTTGCACAGATCATAGAAGTGGTAAGAAATCACATTAATCACAATGCTTAATGTTTATTTGTGTTTACAATTAATAATTGTAAGAATAGTGCATGTTGCAAGCTTGTAGACACTTCAAACATGGTGTCAGCGGTGGGATTTTATAATTGTAAGAATAGTGCATTTTGCAAGCTTGTAGACACTTCAAACATGGTGTCAGCGGTGGGATTTTATAATTGTAAGAATAGTGCATTTTGCAAGCTTGTAGACACTTCAAAAATGGTGTCAGCGGTGGGATTTTATAATTGTAAGAATAGTGCATTTTGCAAGCTTGTAGACACTTCAAACATGGTGTCAGCGGTGGGATTTTATAATTGTAAGAATAGTGCATTTTGCAAGCTTGTAGACACTTCAAACATGGTGTCAGCGGTGGGATTTTATAATTGTAAGAATAGTGCATTTTGCAAGCTTGTAGACACTTCAAACTGGTGTCAGCGGTGGGATTGTATAATTGCAAGTGTTCTTTTTTTCTATCTGTCGTGTTGCAGGTTTGTTTGTTTTGTGTGTTGAGCACACGTAGTATTGTTTATGTTGCATTGCAGAGTATGATAATATTTGTAAATACTGTAACAATATAACCATGTGGTACCATGTTTAAGATCTCGGTTAAAAGCTCTAAGCTATAATTCTGTACACTATCACAAGCTACTTGTATATGTGAAGATGTACAATTATCTATTTCAGAATTCCAGAGAGCAAATTATGACTTCAAACTTGTGGATACGTTACGTGAGTCTACTACTTATACAACTTGTTAACATAGCAAATTTACCATCACTTTGCTTGTCATATGTAGTTACATGTGTTCTCAACGTGTTGCATAGCATATCCTGTACATTGTACACTGTTATAAAATCTATCAAAGCTATGTATGCTATAGATATATGGGTGTTACCCCAACTGTATGTTTATTATTATCATATTATATTACAATTATTATTATTATATTATATATTATTATTCTCTAAACACAGGCCTGGAGGGACGAGTATTTGACCTGGAACACCACACAATATGGCGGCATTGAGAGCATCCTCACGAACAGTGAGAACATATGGCGACCTGACATACTTGTCTATAACAGGTACATTGTAATATGTACATGTAGTGATGCGTACTAACGTGTTCTCTCTAATGTCAAAGGTTGTAGACAGTTGTCATTTTCCCATGTAAATAACTGATCTCCGCTGTTCTATTCCAGTACATTGTAGTGTAATGTATGCCGCCATGTTGGTGCCCCAATTACATTGCAATTAATCGTAGTTAAAGTGCTATTAAGCGTACACATAGTACATGTACTTGTGTATACTTTAGATATTCTCTTCTTTCAACTGTAGACATTCAATGTAGTTATCAGGGAATATTTAGATCCTCGACAACGTTTAAGCTAGCTGTGATTCTTGTAAAATGCAAATATGGACACCAAGATGGCGGCAGACACGGCTTTCAACTGTAGATATTCAATGTAGTTATTTCAGAGAATCTTTAGATCTTCGACAACGTTTATGGTAGCTGTGTTTTTTTTTCACTGAAATGCAAATATGGACACCAAGGTGGCGGCGACCACAGCGTCGATGTCATGTACTCTCAATCTCCAAGCAGATCATACGATGCATATGGCAAGGCAGAGGAGTGTCCATCAGCCAACGGAGGCTAATAGGGAGTCCTCCGACCAAAGGATACTGCCTTGCCACCGTATGATCTCCTTCGAGATTGAAAGAACATGACATCGACGCTGTGGCCGCCGCCATCTTGGTGTCCCTATTTGCATTTCAGTGCAAAAATCTATTTTCATTTACATTCTGTGCAGAATTCAGGACGAGGGCTGGTCAGCCACCCCCGATACGAACGCCATCTTGTTTTCCGACGGAAGAGTGAACTGGTACCACCCGGTCACTTTACGGTCCACCTGTCTGATGGACGTTGCACGCTTCCCTTACGACATCCAGAGATGCCCTCTAACTCTAGGTTTGTTTACTTGTTTGTTTGTTTTGGTTTAGTAGGATCCCAATTAAAGCACTCGTGCAATCTTCTACCAATATGATGATTTTAATACGATAAATCTCTTTTTCTCTTTTGGCTTGGCTTTCTGACGAAGATTCAAGGGCCTTATGAATTTATATGTAATAGGTATGTAATAACAATGGTAGCTGGTAAATATTACACTGTAATTCTTAAACACTTGATTTTTACATATTATACCGCCGTAATTTAGATATTACATAAAACTAACTAATGCTATATATTATGTTAATAGACGATAAAATTATAACTTGTTGCAGGCTCGTGGACGTACACCAATGATATGGTGGACATCGAAGCGAGAAATATCACCCAAGAAGACAGACAAGAATACATCGAGAATGGAGAATGGATCTTAGTATCCATCCGTGCCGGGAGAGGCGTGGCAGCCGGGTCCACAGGAAACTACACCACCTGGACCTGGACTATAGAAATCGCCAGAAGGGATCTGTACTACAACTACTACGTTGTGGCCACGAGTTTTATCCTGGTCATACTTGGACTGTTGACGTTCTGTGTGCCGGCGGATTCGGGGGAGAAACTGTCGCTCAGCATCGTCATGTTACTGTCACTGATAGTCTTCATGGAACTGGTCACAAATAGCCTGCCTGCGACGTCTACAAACATACCACTTATTGGTGAGTTGCGTTAAGAACATCATCTTTTCTTTACTCCTCATAAAAGAATAACATACTGCTTTCTACTATCGATAGAAACCTATTTCATTCCTGATTGCATTGTCAAGTTGAGGATTAACGAGCCAAACACCCTAAAGTAAAAAAAAAAGTTTGAAAATCTTGAATCAATGAATAAGAGATGAGATATGCATTATGCATTTTGCAAGCTTGTAGACGTAGGCACTTCAAACATGGTGTCAGTGGTGGGATTTTATAATTGTAAGAATAGTGCATTTTTCAAGCTTGTAGGCACTTCAAACATGGTGTCAGCGGTGGGATTTTATAATTGTAAGAATAGTGCATTTTGCAAGCTTGTAGGCACTTCAAACATGGTGTCAGTGGTAGGATTTTATAATTGTAAGAGTTTAAGTGTTTTCCTATCTGCCCTGCTGCAGGTCAGTTCTTTGGCGGAATGATCGTCCTAATCGCCTTGTCAGCCGCAATGACCATCTTCATCCTCGGCATCCACTACCGCGGTCCCCAGATCCGACCTGTCCCCAACTGGCTCCGGAAGCTATGTCGGCTGGACAGGATTAGCCAAGACAAGCCCTGGGTCCTTCTGGTATGTATCTGTATCTATATCTGTATAGACGGCACAACTGTCCTTTGGCGTAACACATCAGCTTTGCAGGCACGCGGCGCGGCGGCAGCTGGCTACATTACACCGAACGACTTGTTACACCTAACCCTTGAGCATCTAACTCTAAACATTGCTTAAATCTATCTAATGATATTTTTTAGAAACTTAAGATACTGTACTTGGTGACAGCGAGTTCCACTCTGCGATAGTTCTAAGAAAGAATGAGTTTTTGAACACCTTAATCCTTGATTGATAACTCTGGTACTTGAAGGCATGACTATTTCTTGTTCTTTTCTGAGCTGGTATGAGGTACTTAGAAGTTGGTACGTCCACCAGTTTATTAGTCATTTTGTACATCATGCGTAGTCTCGACATTTTTTGTCTGTTTTCCAGTGACACTCACTGTAGGTTTCTTTTTTTTACTGTAGGTCCTACAGAACCCCCATAACGGGCCCAGGTCCACCATAACGTCCGTCACCGACGAGGAGATTGAAGCTCTCCACAACGAGAACGAACATCTGGAGGGCATCGCGGACACCATGGACTACTTCCTGGCCAAATACGAGAAGAAAGACAGGAAGAGGGAGATGGAAGACGAGTGGCAGCTGCTGGCTATCATTTTTGACAGGTTCCTGCTCGTTGTGTTCTTCCTTATGTTGATCGCCGTGTCGCTCGCGCTGCTGGCTCCCGGAGGAAGGCCTCGCCCAGAAACGTGACCTGTGTGAATTGACGCCGAGTGTCGTGAGGAACCTCACGCCGTGCATTTACTCGTTTAAGATACCCCGTATATATCAAGTGGAATGCAATTTCAGGGCGGCAAAACTGGTAAATATTCTGAATGTAGCAATCTATATGGTATGAACACATACTGCCCCACATTAGCACATTTGAATTAGTATTTCGTACTACACTGGATGCCTTTAACATCATTAAATTTTCCCTACATTGTGCCGTAGATATTTGATTAAAAAAGAACCTCTTTGATTGTACTCAATGACAGCAAATAGCAAGTGGCATTTTGTTTGTTTGTTTGTTTGTTTGTTTGTTTGTTTGATTGATTGATTATTTAGTTTAGGATCTCCATATTTTGTATTTTGAATGTAAAGATTATAAAAGAAAGATGTTTCTAACTCCAAGTCTGTTGGGTGCGAAAGTAATTTGCTTTGCGTGAATATCATATCAATCAATTTAACTTTGTCTAATACGTATAGTCTGTTAGTTGAATATTGTATACGTATTTAATTAGAATATGTTGCTAGATTTTTGGCTGGGTCACGTTTTCTTATACTATTTACACCAAATGTCAGAGAAAGTTTGTTAGATTTTATTTTCAGCTAAGGAAATACAGGGTATAGCGGGGCAATGCTTTTCAACGGGGCAGTATATAGTGTACATGTGTCATAAAGCCTGGCTGAATAAGGAATAAACGATGTCTACTGAAACTTTGTGTTTGGTTCTCTTTTCTATATTCTTCCGTGAAATCTTTAGCTTTGTAATACAATCCTACAACAAGATGCAAGGGGTCCCAAACTAATGTCACTTCTTCCCTAGCCCAAGAGATACCTACCATCCAAATTTCGTGACCCTAGCACGTCCAGATCGCGAGATATCAAAACCGGAAATTCTGCCCTACCCAGGAAAGCCGCCAGGGGGCCCAAAATTTAATCATTTCTAGGTCTCATTAACAACTATCCACCTACCAAGTTTCATGATAATCCATCTAAAGCTTCTGGTGTTATCTTGCTAAACCACATACATACATACATACCCCCCCCCCACCCA